TGTTATGAACTGGCGCTATACAAATACAATTGAATTGAATTGAAATATAGTATGGATTTTATATAGCAGAGGAAATATTTTTTTTTATCATATTGCATTTTATTATGAAAATCTCACAAAAGATTATAAATACATTCAGTCCTTCTCTTCACTTTTTAAAAATGTCTTTCTTTTCCAGCAACTCTGGGTTTTAATTTATGTCTCCTTGACTATTACATATAGACACTGAACCCACCTATCATATTTTCATGCCACTTCGATAACTAATTACTGTCGACTTGTGTGATAAACAGTTTAATTGCAATTGCTTTGGGACAAAATATGCAACACTATAGCACAACAGTAACTGATGACAACAGCCTTGCGATGTCTATTACCCAATTTTGACACCATGTCTTTTAGAGGGTGCCTGTGACAAAATAAGACTTTCTATAGGCCTATTACATTATTGTACATTTATGTTACGTGACTTGTCGATAGGAAAAGTACAGGTGTATAATAAAATCAAGGGTGGTTTAATTCAATGCAGTTGGTGTGCCTACAGAGTCCTAGCATTGTGCTTTGTGTGGCGGCTCCACTGTCAGAAGGGCCCAACAGCACTCCAACGCCTAGCGAAGTACGCATGCGCATGAAGAAAAAAAAAAACACTAAACCGCGGAAGTGTTTGCTAACCTGCTGCTCTGTTGTTCACCGGACAGACCAACAGCTATGGATAAAGGACCGCTCCCACACACACACACACACACACACACTGAAGTCTCGTCTATGTAACGTTGAGGAGCTCTGCAGATGCCTTGAACATGGCAATGGTTGTTCGGGAAACAGGTTTAGTTTTATACCTCTGGACTGTTTTCATCCAGTTCAGCCGCATGTCAGGTGAGCAGCAGCCAGCGGAAGGGTTGGACGTGTTCATGTTTGTGCCTTCACGGTTGGTCACTTCCCTGTGATGTGATGTGAAGTGCAGAGGTGTACTGTGTCATATTCCCTGTGAATTTCCATCCCATATCACTAGGTCTCTACCAACACTGACTTCATACTCATGCTGCAGTTAGTCACATCACTGACATAAGCTTGTGGTGTACGCGCTTCTGTCTCGGTCTGCTTTAGGTCTTGGGGTCAATGAACTGCTCTATTTCCGGGTCATCAGTCCAGAGGAGATTGGGTACATCTTCAGTGCAGCACCTGCCAAAGACTTCGGAGGAGATTTTGTTAGTACTCTGCCCCTCTTCTGAGTTTAATGTGTTGACCAAATGATTCATTCGCCCCAGACACAAGTGCATTCACCATCTACTCACCCCTTTTCTCCTTTTGGTCCCCAGACATCATCTTATGATGAGATTTTTCTCGTGCCAGCAGACCCAGCAGACGGCTGCTCAGACCTGGAGGACAGAGAAATCATCCAGGGACAAGTAATCCTGGTGGAGAGGGGGTATGTACACCTGTATATGCCATGCAGGATGTGACCAAAAAGCAGTAGTGGGAAACAGGAACTACAGGCTTTGATGAAGCCATTTAGCAGTGGAGGGGAACTTTAAAGGATTAGTGTGCAGTTACAGATTACAACCCCGTGTCTCACCCTCCTATTCCAAGCGTGTAGGAGAAACGTTGGTGGCTGCTAAACTCCCTATCAAGAGTCAGTGTCTATTCTGGGCTACTGTAAAAACATGATGCACTCTGTAGACGACTAATGGAAAGATACCTATAAATATTATATTCAATTTTGCCAATAGGTCATCCTAAATGTTACACATTAAATAAGAAATAAATAGATATGTCTGGATAGTTTGTAAGGCAGCTGTCATAAGCATAGGTCTGGTGCTATTATTGACTTTACTTAAAAGGACAATTTGCTGTATTGTAGGTGCAAGTCATGCCGGTGCATGTTTTTTTCTATGGTGTTCCAAGATAGTGCCCATTTATTCCAGCCAAATTTGCTCATTGCTTCGTACACTGAAAAAATCAGCAGGCCTCCACATCTTTGGGCCCATATAGCATGTGCACGTCTTTCTCTGGCCTCGCCAGCCACCTGCCTGCTCTCATAATGGCACAAAAATATGTGGTAATGCATTGCATTTTAAATTGACATTGGACCTCTGAAATGACGAGAAATGAAGAGTGCTTGCTTAGTGAATGTTTGTCATTATTTTACAGTTGTTTCTTTTGTAATGGTTGTATATGAGAACAAGTCTTTCTGGGCCAGAGAGCCTCACATTACCATCAGTTTTTACTGCGGTCACTATGGCAAAATGTACTGTCAACATAGTTTATCAGCCATGACTGCACAATCCCTTTCCCAAACTGACACATTAGCTGACCTCTTATGAATTTAGGCAATAGTGGTGTTTTATATAACCATCTTTAGTTATTTTTTATTGTAAGATAATATCTAATTAGATGCTATTTCAAAATGGTTTCTCACATTTCTTTCTGTCTTTTTGTTCAGAGGTTGCTCCTTTGTACAAAAGGCCCGACATGTGGAGGAAGCAGGAGGCAAAGCTGTTCTGATCGCTGATAATGCAGAGGACAACGACAGTCAGTACCTTGATATGATCACTGATGGAAGCACTGCTAAACCGAGCATACCTGCTCTATTCCTGCTGGGACGAGATGGGTAAGACATATGAACATATACAAACAAATATTCGACATTAATACATTTCCTGATATTAATGTGTTTTTTTCCCCCATGTATTCTAGGATGATGATCAGGCGATCTCTTCAGAGACAAGCACTTCCGTGGGCTGTCATTTCAATCCCGGTCAATGTTTCCTCTTTGGCTTCATTCCCACTCAAACAGCCCCCATGGACACTGTGGTAGAAATGACTCACACCCAAAACTTCATGCACTTACTCACTCAATAAATATTCTTTCATCAGTGCATGTTGTGGCCGCAATGGAGGAACTCACAGCCTCCCAGGGAAATTCTTTGATGGTGGTTAAACAAATTTGCACGCAGTGAACCAATAAAATTAACATATGTACACATGATTATGTCATGCCCAAATATACATCCAAAGTTATGTGGTGCAAACCTTTTTAACATTGTTCAAATAGACTCTGCCAGGGCTGTTGGCCCGGGGTGAGGACATACAAACTCGGCAAGAAACATTTGTGCTTATTGTCAGTGCTCAATTGAAGTTGACTGAATTAGCCAGTGGTTTTGAAGATAATGAGTCTGTTTTACAGTTGAGTACTTTCCAGGAACTTCTGTACACTAGTCAGTCGTGAAAGTAGAAAATCTGCTATGCATTAATATAACACATACAAATTGAAGTGTACTATTTATTTGCCTTCTCAAATAGTACAAGCTGTTGCGTATGCCTCTATGGGATAAAGAAGGAAAAAGAACAGGCCATAATAGCATATGCTAACTTCAGTTTAATACAGCATACCAGGAATGTCATCTCACTGTAAAAAAATATTACCAAATTCCTGCTTATTTGCATGAACTTAAACAGTGTGATCAAAAATGTTTTGTTTCTCTTATCGTTAATTAAATTAATTTTTTTTTGTTTTTGCATTAAAAATTCTCATTTATTGGTATCTATACCAACTTTTAAGACCATACCAACTTTGCTTTGTCTTTTTGGGCCTGAGGCTGAATAACCCAGACCACTGTAAGAAGTATAATGTGTACATTATTATATCTACTACTCCAGTACTCCAGATCCAAAATCCAAGACCTGTTTAGAACAGCTTGGATAAACAAGATTGACATAGACACATTGTGTATACAAAGTAAAGACAATGAAAAACAATGTATGACAAAAAGGCTTTTGTGAAAATGACAACAACAAAAAAAACATTTCCATGAATACATTTTTTATTATTTTATGCTAATTAGAGCATTAGCCCTCCCCCCATTATTATTTTTCATTATGTAAGCACAATAGGCAGAGTGACACTTTGCAGGAAGTCAGTCAGTTAGGGGGGTTTGGGACTAATACTATTTTGCATCTTAACAATATAATACAGGTGTTTACTTTTGGCCTGTGACCCATCATTACGTTTTAGTTTTGGCCTTTCAGGACAAAAAGGTTCGGTACCCCTGGTTTAGATGTTTAGAATAGGTATTTTGTATGTTAAAAAGCCATTTCCCCCTTTTTTTTGCCAACACAATTTATCCCTAGTTTGAGTTCATTCCAAGTACTACTTACATCCATACCTGACTGTAGTTTACAGATATTGGAGTTATTACTTGAAACTTACTGTAATTATACCAGAACTGCACTTGCATTTTATTGGACTTTGTTGGTTAATTACAACAATCTTCTTTAATATCTGTACTTTTCATTTCCTATACAACTCTCATTGCATTGGTGTCCCTTTTAAACTTTCCGTAATGAGGTTTCTGACAAGACAAGTTTTTTTTTGTCTTCAGAGAGTTTGTACTTAACTGATTGATTGTTGTTTATTGATTGAATATAGGTCTGTAAACCCCATTGATCCATGTAGCCTATAAAGAGGGTTAGGGACATATAACTGGATTGGAGTGCAGAGTAAGACACAAGTGCTTCATAAAGTACCTGACCTATTACAGTAGTTTGAAAATTAATGAGGCACTAAATCAACTCTGCAACACCTGGGCACACACCAGTTAAAGCCAACTAGAGCAATGCATGTTTGCTTTTGACTTTCTGTCCACCCACACGCTGCAAGATAAGCTTGTTTGATAAACTGCATGTTAGTGTCCCGGGAAGCATCTCACATATGAAGTTGAAGGCTGATAAAATATCTTCTTTGCTTCTGTAGATTCTGTAGTTTTCTTTATTTTTGTTGAAAGTACAAAAGGTTCAGAACAGCTGTTTGAATTCATTTCTTTTAGTAAAAGTTTCAATCTTAAAGAGATTTCATCTGAGGACATATGTGTTGGCCTTTGCAGTTACATGAACAGTTTGTGTAGTATCTGTGGTTAACACCAGCTGCTAGGCCTCAACACAACATTAAAATCTGCAGTTCCTTCTGATCTGATTTTTCCAACAAAAATGTCATTCTGCTATATGGACAAAGACTAAAATGTATAAAGTGCTTTCATTTAAGATGAGAAAAAGTATGCTGTATTTATTTATTTATTGTTTATTCCAGATTTAAAGTAGAAACTCATACCAGAAAATGTTTATTAGGGTCTGTATAGTCTTTCACTTGATATATGGTTAATATAGACTGGTTTAATTTCAGATTATATTGCCTTATAATGTAAAATACATTATCTTTGGTCATGTCGATGTTCATTTACATTTTCTGTCACAAAGGGGACAATCATAATAAACATTTTGAATAAAAACACATTCAATAAAGTCCTAACAGATCTGAATATTAGCAATAGCATTTTTTTCAGTAACAATGTTTTATTGCAGTGGCAATAAAGTGGCTTTTTATATCTGCAGAAAGTATTTGTGGACATAAAAGGCTGCTGCATTATCTAATAGCCTGTTGATAATCTTATGTTGAAGTAATGCTTTACTAATGCGTAACTCGTGATAATTTAATGTATTAATGGAGGGTGTATCATAAATTCTTCTTGTTCACCGCTAACAAATGATCAATCAACAAGTGTGATTCGTTCACACTTAATAGATCATCAGTTATGGAATGTCAATTCATGGATTATTTGATATGCACCAAATTATTATTATTATTTCAGTTATATAAAACTTTATTTCAGACCCAAGTATTTGCTCTGCCTCTCTGAAAGCAGATCAGTACCTGTTCTCATAGAAATATTAAGCTATTTTTAACCAGAAAAAACCCAAACCATTACAGAATACACAGGATAACGGCTCAAACTGCTTTGACTTGTGTTTTAAAATGGGCCTAATTGCAGTTCAGAAACACACCGCTGCACTGCTGACAGCAAAGTAAAAAATAACATAATTTATCATGTCTGGAAACACAATGGAAACATCAGTGATTAAAAAAAAGCAGTGTTTTCCTTTACTTAATGCTCCAGTACACCATCAACATGTTATTCTGGAAAATATAAACTCACCAGTAGAGCTTTCTGGCCAAAATTGAATTACTTTTTAAAATTAAACTTTCATATTTTCCCCTCCATTTGACATTTCTTGTATAATATATACATTTTAGATTTAGGTGGGCTGTTCCTGACATGAACAGGGACCCAAGTATACCAGTATTTTCAGACTATACAGCACTAGTCTAACATTTAATAGGAGTAAGTGTATCAGGACACTGTATCAACAGCTAATTCAGATAAAACATTAGCACCACCTTGTAAGATCCAGTGAAGAATATTGAGTAAGAAATATTGCCAGGTTTCAATCCAAATAATTGAGAGAGAGAGAGAGATGGTAAAAAAAAAAAAACAACAACACACAGTTGATTAGAATAATTTGCTGAATCAAGTCCTCTGGTTCTTGTTATTTCCATGACTTCACAGGTAAGGAGTCGACTCTGAAGAGAGAGGTTATAGACAGTTTAAATAAGCATCGACCGCAGCAATGAATAAATCTCACACAGCCCAATATACTACATTCAAACCTAGTATATCTGTACAGACTATAAACAGATAAGTAAGTGTGAACATGGTAGTGAATTTTGCATGCAGCTCCCCCCAGAGTTATTCTTGCCCCCGTTACCTCCTGTTGCACCTCGGACACACTCTGCCCCACACTGTCCTCACTGTGGCTTCTCTCAGAGCCGGACTCCCCCATATATACACAGACGGTGTGCACACAGCGTTCAAACGAGCCATGATGGCAAAAATATTGGTGGCCTCGTTCCTGAACGTCAGTCCTCCTCCTGCCACAAATCTGATGACTATATTCACAAAAGAGGGGCACCACAACACCAAGAAGCTTATGACAACAAAAATGATAATTCTCAAAGACTCTTTCGTTGCTGTCCTTTTTTTGTCTGCGCTGGGGAGTGGGGGGTCTCTCTCAGCTGTACCTGGGCAAAAAAAAAAAAAAAAAAACCAATAAAAAAAAAAACCAAAATACAGTTTGATGGTCATGACCACCTTGGCGAGCACGATTAGTTGGAAGAAGACAATGCTGAACACGTACAGTTGTATCGCTTTGGAAAGTGGCAACACATTCCTGGCGAGCAAGTGTGCAAAATTATAAACCCAGCAGTAGATGTTGATGCCTATCACAAACTGTCTTGTTATGAAGCGGCTGTAGATGAATGGATGGCACACAGCAAAGTATCGGTCAATGTGCGAACAGCAGATGGTTAAATTATGTTTGACCCTAGAAAGAGAGGGTAAATATTTCAGAGTGCCCATGTTCTAGAACGATATCCCAGCTCCCCTGAAGCATCAAAAACAGACGCACAGAATATATACAACTGAAACCCAACAGCGTTATCAGCGCGGGCTCCAAAGTACTTGGTGTGAGTCAATGGAAAATTCAAATCTATTTTGGAAGGCCCCCGTAGGAGGCGCTTGGTTTCTGGTGGCCAAGATACCCAATAAGCTACTGTTCCGTCTATGAAGAAAAGTGTCTGTAGCGAAATAGAATGCTGGAAAGATAAACACGAATGCAGATAGCCACTCCTCTCAGGACTGTGCGATTAGTTCACCGAGAAGGGGAACTCCGTCCCTGTCTCGAAGAGTCTGCTGATCGTTGGGAGACGAGCAGTTGTTCACCTGCCGGCGCAAAATGGTTCATAAGTCATCCGGATTATGTTTTTATCGTAATGACCGTGGCTGTAAGGCCCTGTGTAGCAAGACACTTGATCTCCTTGAGACGCCTATGCTACTGATCGTAATGTCGTTCTTTGGCCCGCCCTTTGAACACAGCTGCATGCAGAAGTCCTGGCAAAGAATTTGACTTTCACCGTTTGAGAGACATGACTGATTTTAGTGTTGATTCTTTTCTGCTATAAAATGAATTAATATCTTATATAGATTTCTTTATATGGATATACTACGGAGATACTGTATTTGAATCATTTAATGGTAGAATGAAACGAACATAAAGTAAAAACGTTTTTCAATTTACGCTTACCTAAGCACATTATCACCGATTGTTAGTAACGTTTTCTTGGTTAACTGACCTGATAGAGGACATTAAACATACATAGTGCATTGTGCATTTAGCCAAGGAGCTTTCAACTCGTTTTGAGTGTGGCCCTGTGTTTCAGCCACACCGCACGAGAGATGGTGCGCTGTGGCCCTCTGAACAGGCAGGAGAAAGCAGAATCCTAAAGTTTGTGCTAGTCTCGTGTTGTTAGCCAAATCACCATCAGGATCTAAAAGCTGCTATACGTGCAGCATGAACCTTAGTGTGGGGGCTCAGTTTGCTGTGGCAGCTTGTTGTGCTGCTGTCAAGAGGAAGTTCTGAAGGGGAGGCAGGTTTTCGACCTGGGGGCGTGTGTGTGTGTAGTTGTTCGTGTGGAGGGGTGCAGAAAGAGGCCCCAAAGCTGAAGGGGATATAGAGGGAGGTCCCGCATTAGAGAGGGTAGCTACAGCCTAGAGCCAGAATATGTTTCACATTTAAATTAAGGATTTATTTAGACCAAGCCCAAGCTGGTGATTGTTGGAAGAGTGGAAAGACTAACACAGACTGTTTTGGTGAGTTTTACTTTGTTTTTGTCCTGTTTCAATGAGGTGTGTTTTATGATGACTTAACAAGGAAATTAAGGTCTTAGTTCAGAGAAGCTTGAATTCAAAAGGTGTAGGGTTGTATTTTTCTGTTTAATAAGGAAAATACGTGTATGAATATTTCTATTCTTGATATTTTTGATTTTATCTAAGTTCATTTATTAGACTTAAAGGCTAAGAGAAGTTGTGTAATGTAAGGTACTCCCAGGTGGAAATATAGTGTATGGGAAGTCAAACAGTTCAAAAGCCAGTCAGAGGCAGAGTAGGGCAGATCATTGCCTCTCTAATCCTAGGGGTAAAAATTATGGCATACAGGACAGGCCGAAGCTATCTGGTTAGCATGCTAACCTCAATAGATACACACAATACATAAATGTCTTTGAAATAATATCAAAACCGCTATTTTTACATTCTGCTGATAATTTTAGTTCATTTATGAATGTTTGAAACTCTTAAATTCTTATAATGCATCTTCAAAACAAAAAACAAAAAACAAAACAAAGAAAGACTTTTGATATTGACTTCAGCACCAGGAGCTGTCCACAATGACTTTCTGTTCCCACATTTAAATATAGAGGTTAGGCTTTTATATTGGAAACTGGGTCAGTTTTATTGGGATTCACATGGGCGTTGTATCTGTGTCTACAGTAAATTTATAAACAGTTGTTAAACATTTTAATGTATAGCTGAATAAACCTTTCTGTATTCATTTGAAGATTAAAACAAAGTTGGACTCATTCCGAGCCAGACTTGCCTATAATCCACTGCAGTTATGTTTTTGAATTATTTTAATTTCTTATGGAATATGTGTGGAAATAAATTGAGAGCTCTTTAACATTATTAAAAATAAAACAGATAATAAATACTAGATTAAATAGTGAAGTCCAGCAGCAGGGTCAAGTATTACGGCGCTGTTCCAATTTCTACTTTCCACAAATGTTCCTTTTACTTTTGAATACAAATATGCTGAAAAATAGCATTTTACCAGGACCTAGAAATAAATAATTTGTTAATGTAGTTCATTAAAATATATTTTAATAATAAAAAGAATAATAGTTATAATAATAATACTACAGTATATTAAATCAGATGTCCACCTACAGATAGTTTACAGAGTTTAACTGCTTATTAGTTGAGATTCAACAATTCAACTGTTTGACAAATAAAGATCCGGTTAGCTTAAGGAACAAACAACATCTTGTTTAGGGCATGTTCATGATATGTCACATAGTCTCTCTGTTAAATATCAGACAAAGCAAATGTTACAAATAGCTTCTTTATAAAGGCGGACCGTCCAAATTGCATGCAATCTTCTCCACTGTAATATTTCAAAATACCATATTAGGGTTGAGTGTAGAAAAGAGATATGAATTCCAATTATTATTTAAAGTAGGAACAATCTTTGAGGGGATCAAAGGTTTCGTGTACTGAAGCTGTAAACGTAAAAAACCAACAACGGAAAACTTAAAAAGGCCTAAATGAAGCATAAAGAAAATGGACGGGAAAATTGCACTTCAATGTCATGAACAAATAGCAAACACTGTGACAAATACAATGATTGTTTTTTTTAAATTACAGAAATATTTCTTTCCGGCCATTGTCATGCAGTCCCTTATCACAGAATCAGTGACGGGGTCCTCGGTTTCAGTGAATCAGGGCCCTTTCTTTGCCTTTTCCCTTCACAGAAGTGGAGCCAACTCTGAGAAAGAAGCGAATAAACAGCTGCTTATTGCAAGTTTGTAGAGAAATCAGTGCATCTTTATTCCAGCATAAGACCATTTATTGAACCTCTTACCTCCTGTTGCACCTCGGACACACTCTGCCCCACACTGTCCTCACTGTGGCTTCTCTCAGAGCCGGACTCCCCCACAAGTACACCGCCGGTGTGCACACAGCGTTTAAACGAGCCATGATGGCAAAAATATTGGTGGCCTCGTTTCTAAATGTCAGCCCCGTTCCTATCAGCAGCCTGAGGACGATATTCACAAAAGAGGGGCCCCACAACACCAAGAAGCTTATGACAACAAAAATGATAATTCTCAAAGACTCCTTGTTGTTTTCTCTCTCTGCGCTGGGAGGGTCTCTCTCTAGCTGGTACCTGGCAACAACATACAGTTTGATGGTCATGACCACTTTGGTGAGCACAATAATTTGTAAAGTGGCAATACTTGGACAACATTACAGGCTGGTATGATTTGGAAATTGGCAGGAAAGCTCAAAACGGTGGACTGAGCATAGACATGTTTTTTGAAGCCAACAATAGACATTTGCAGAGATAACCACTCTTCGGCTTATAAAGCGCGTGTAGATGAATGGATGACAAACAGCAAAGTATCGGTCAAACTGTGCAAATAAAAATGTCATTATGTTAACACCGAGAAGAGAGGGTAACATGTTATAAGTGCCATTTCTAGAAGGAAATCCTTCCTGAACATCAAACAGACCAAGATAATACACTGAAAACCCAACCAGCGTATCACAAATACTGGTGTTGAGCATGAAAATAAATCTATTTTGGAGGCGAAGCGCTCTGGTGGCAAAGATACCAATGACTACTGTTCCTGCTATGAGAACAGTAGTTGTAGCGAATAGAATCTGGAAAATAAAGATGAAATAATCCTCAGGACTGTCGAAGTTGACCGAGAGGGGAACTCCTCCTGTCATAGAGTCTGTGATGTTGGAGAGGAGCATTGTTCATGCGCAAATGGTTCATAAGTGCATCGATTATTTTTTATGTAAGACCTGCTGTACCCTGATGTCACCAGCCTTGATCTCTTGAGACGCTATGTATGATCTAATGTCG